AACAACAGCGCCCAGATGCTCTGGTCGCACCACCACTTATCACTCTTCGCCAAAAGTTTCGCGTAGGCCTTGGACGCCTCTCGAATCGCCCACACACGCCCCACCATTCCGCCAGCAGCGAGATGCCGATATTCCGAAGGCGGCGACCGCACCAAGCGCTGGTCTGCAGAAGAGCTCGCGGCCATCCATAGGCGTTCGTAAAACCAAAAGCACCGCTCAAAGTGACCTGGATGCTCCGAAGGAACCACGAGTTCTATCTGCGGTGCCCAACATGCAGGGTCGCTCTCAAACAGCATGGGGGCACTTGCCTCGCCTCGATGCACCGCCGTGGCGTTGAAGGCGTCTGCGCTGGGCGCCGTCGCCGCCAAGAAGCCCTCCACCGCCCGCTTTGCCGCAAGAGGTCCGGTAAGAAAGGTGTCAGCGCCGTCGAACATCACCACCACGTCCTCGTCCCGCAGGCCCGCCTCCTCCATGTAGTTCAGCAGCCACGATATACGGACCGTGTGTCTGTAATTTCCACCAAAGCCAATCGATACGACCGACACGCGGGAGAGAATGGCGCTCAGCATCATCCTGCACCAGCCGGGGGAGTAGCCTGTCTGAGCAACAACAAAGACAATCCTTGGGGCCGCCGTTGGGGAGCGCACCCACGCACCGCCCTGCGTCGGGCTGAAAAGGAACTGCTGCACAGGTGTGCCGGTGTTCGCTGGAACAAGAGCCAGCAGCACCAACAACACAGCAACAAGGGCGCAGAGCAACACCTGACGGTAGTGCTTGCGCAATACATGGGGCAGTGCGGCGAGAGGTGCACGGGAGTGCATTGTGGCCATGTGGAGTGGCGCGGGAAGAGGCGGCTAGGTCGCCTACAAGAGAATCGAGCGCTGCAGGGGATGGGGGAGAGAGAGTCACAGCAATTGGGGGAGTGGCGGCAGCATTGCAGCAGACACTTCCACTCCCGCAGGCACGCACACAGACAGACACGGACAGAAGACAGTCGCAGCTCGCGGCTGTGGACGCAGCAACCAAAGTCCCCCGCTGCGCGGAACAGTCACACCGCGTGAAAAGGCAGGGCGCAGCGCGACCAAAAAAACGCCCGTAACTGGGAAACATTGATGCCCCTTCTCGGAGTTAACCCCATCACGAGGCCTCTCTCCTTTCCTCTCCCAAGTCTCAGAGGAGACCACAACGGACAGCAGACTGATACGAAGAAACCAAGGAAGAGTGGCTGACGAGAGTGAGAAAGAGAGAAGTGGCCGCAAGGGCCTTCGCTGAGAAGGCAGGCCAAGCACGCAGTGGAGACCGGTCCGGGTGCC